CAACTATTAGGAAATTTATGGACATTTTTTTTTCTTAAATTTTGTGTAATTAAATTCAGACATATTGGTATTTTGAATAAATTATTGTGGTTAAATTTTGTTTATGGAATTGATATACTCTGGATGAATTTTGGTTGTTGAGTATTTGGTTGTGGAATCGATTTCGACAAACAGGTGTACTTTCTTTTATTTTTGTTGTAAAATAGTTGTTTTTGTACAGTAAAACGTATTTTCATAATACATTTTAATTTACTTTTTATTTTTTAAAGAAACCGTATTTTAAGAATACGTTTTTCAATAAACGTATTCTCAAAATACGTTTTTTGTTAAAAAAAATCAGTAAATAATAAATTTATAAATTTTTTATATATATTTATAATATATAAAATTTAATTTTTTAGTAAAACGTATTTTCAAAATACGTTTTAGATGGTAAAACGTATTTCGAAAATACTTTTAGTAGTAAACGTATTCTTATAATACGTTTTAATTTGATTTAATTTACTTAATCACATTTTATATTAATTTAATTAACTTAATTATGTTTATAATTTTAATGCATTATAAATGTATTACTATAATACGTTTTACATTGAAAATGTATTCTCAGAATACGTTTTACATTGTAAAACGTACTCCGAGAATACGCCTGTTTTATTTTCGTCCACTTGTTTTTTTTTTGTCCAGTTTTTTTTTTATTTAAATAAAAAAAATCTAAATATTCATGATGAGAATAAAATTATGCAAGCTATCAAAATAAATTAGTAGAATGACAAAGATGAGAATAAAATTATACAAGCTATCTTAATAATCAATAAAATGACAAAGTATGAAAGTGATATCAGATATAAAGTAGTGTACAATCTATATCTACATCTATATTTATATAATGAATCAATCCTTATTACCATAATTAACATGATTTTGGGCGAAAATTTTTTTCGTCTATATTTGGTATTTAATTAATATTTATTTATTAACAAATCTTATGCATGAAAAACATAATTAATTTCTATACACTCAATGACTATTACTCATTAACTACAAATTGGCTTAACCGTAAATTTATCAGATATATTTTCAATAAGATCTATATTAATTTAATAGTTATTTATTGACACAATTCATAAAATTAATATGGAAATCGATTTGATTAAATATATCATCATTTATGGTTGTAGGTATTAATTTAATTAATTATATTCACTATTCAAAAGTACTTAAGATGTAGTCAATTTGACTATGTTTAAATCATAATAACCTAATAAATAATTTAAAATATTAACAAAATTTTCTAAAATGTAGTTAATTTAACTACAAAAAAGTATATCCCATTGAATATATCATATGCAGCGATAATACTATTGAAATTTAAATAATATACTAATAAAAATAAAATTTAACGGTCGGGTGCAATTTAGAACTAAAAATTTCACTCAAAGTATCTATGTACATTAAAAGACTATTCAATTTTAAAAATATATATATCTTTCTTATATCCTCCCTATATATAATTCCCGAATGCGTTGAACCTACGTGGCTGCTTCTGGTGCTTCGGAATCCTACTTGGCGAATAATCATGCTTCGTAATGGACAAATAATATTAATATATTAATAATTAATAATTTATGTTTGGGTATTCCATAAATATTATTTAGCTAACTTAGGTATTTTAATATCACTTTTACTAATATAACCCCTTTAATTCTTTGTAATTTTACATAGTGAGACATTAAGTGACTAATATATCCCGAAATTTTGATTTGCTTCCTTCAATAAGCTATTGAATTATAAATGTATTTTAAAAGTAGATAACTTTTGTATTTCTTATCGGTTTTACATATATAATATATCAAATTAATCATCTTTTGATGATCTTTGATTTAACATCCATATTGTATATATAAAATAAATAAATTATATCTATCTTTATAATAATAAAATATAATAATATTTATTAAAATTCATTAGAAAAATAAAATTATTTCTCAATTGATATATTTATATTTAATGTAGTTATATATTGTAAGTTAAAAAATTAGTATAATATAACACAAGTAAGTCGCACAAATAAAAAAATATCATAATAAATATATAATAATATATATTCTTATAAAAGGTATTTAAATTTTCAAACTACTTTTTCTCATTAATTTTAAATTTTAAGAAAAATATTAGCAAGCACCCGTGTAATACACGGGTGTTGTAATAGTACTATTTTATTGATGAAAAATAAGTTAATAAAAAAGCAATGTATAATAATTTAAATTATAACACATGGTAATTATGGAAATTCTCCCTATATATAATTCCCGAATGCGCTGAGCCTACGTGGTTGTTTATGGTGCTTCGGAATCCTACTTGGCGAAGAATCATGCTTCGTAATTAGGTTTGGACAAATAATATTGATATATTAATAATTAATAATTTAGGTTCGGACATTCCATAAATATTATTTAGCTAACTTAGGTATTTTAATATCACTTTTACTAATATAACACTTTAATTCCTTGTAATTTTATATAGTGAGGCACTAAGTGACTAATATATCCCTGACTTTTAATTTGTTTCCTTCAATTAGCTATTGAATTGTAAATTTATTTTAAAAGTTGATAACTTTTGTATTTCATATCGGTTTTACATATATGATATATCAAATTAATCTTCTTTTGATGATCTTCGATTTGACATCCATATTGCATATATGAAATAAATAATTTTATTTATCTTTATAATAATAAAAAATAATAATATTTATTAAAAATTATTAGAAAAATAAAATTATTTATCAATTGATATATTTATGTTTAATGTAATTATATGTTGTAAGTTAAAAAAATTATTATAATATAACACAGGTAAGTCGCACAAATAAAAAAGTGTCATACAAATATATAATAATATATATTTTTTTATAAAAGTTATTGAAATTTTCAATTATTTTTTCTCATTAATTTTATATTTTAAGAAAAAATTAGCAAGCACCCGTGTAATACACGGGCGTTGTACTAGTATATAATATATCTATATATTTGAATAGATACTATGTAACTCATTATACAGGTTGAAAAAATGAATTAAATAAATAAATATAAATAAAAACATAAAAATAAAATATTTAACCATAAAAAAAATTTTTGTTGCATAAGGATTAAAGTTACTAAAAATTAAAATTTATTTATCAAAATTTTTAACATTTAATGCACTTAATAATTATAGCGAAAGATAAATATCATGAGTTAAACGTAGGTCAATTATCAATCAATGTACAAATCTTGAATTGTTAAAAAATAAAGTATACGACTATGATAAACGACAATTTTCGTCTCTAGTGTTAAATTCCTTGTTTTTAGTGGCATTCACTTTCTACTGATGTGAAACTTTTCATATTAAATCAATTGCTTGGAGCACGCAAAAAACAGTGATAATATATATGATTTTGTTTGCAATTACCTAGATGAATGTCAAACCACCACCTGATTTTTGTGTGGAAAAGATGAACATGGCAAGCTACAAAAACCGACGTGGCTTTGAATAAAATAATTCATAAAAGTGAAAAAGAGCCGACGAAATGGACGTTGATGGCCATGTTGGATATAGGACGAAGAAGGTGACCTTCGATACTTCTAATCGGTTATAACTTCTCCAAACCAGCAAGCATTTAGAAAATTAGTTAGTTAGATAATTTTTGGGTGTGTGGTGTGTCACATAAAAAGTGTTGTTGTTGTATGGAATTTAACAACTATAGAATAATACAATTAAAGCGTTAAAAGTGTAGGCTTTTTATTATTTTTTAATTATGGTTGAGTACAGGAAGTCGGTATATTCGTAAATCGAACTTATTTGCATAAGTGCATTAAATATACTCCCAAAAGATCCCCGTACAATAATGAATTTTGCTATTTGTAGTCGTATATGTTTTCACTTTCGGTACGAGGTAGATATGATTGTATTTAATGCGGGACAACTTTTTGAAGCGTTCTGTCGGTCAACGAGGGAACAACAATGATTGCATATTTTGCACGTGGTCTAATTACGTGGGTTCCTTGTCACCTGCTTTGGAGTTTGGTCATGTCGGACCTCAGTTTGCAGGTCGAATCTTCGAGAAAGGATCTTCAAGAAGTCGGTTATTGGAGAGTCTTTGAGGAGTCGATTGTCTCATTGAACCGAAGTCAGCTCACATTAGGCATGAGGTCGGTTTAATACTAAACTTGTACCGAGTTGAATTAATTTTGACGTGCAAGCGAGTTTGAGCGACGATCTTGTTTAATGGACAAATTCAGGTCGGTTGTCAACAAGTGCCACATCAATAAGTTGTATTCGGAAATTGTATTTGAAAATTGTTACAAGTCAACAAAATTTTAGGTACTAAAAAAATTTATTTATTTATTTTTCACAAAAAATGGATTTTAAAATACACAACGAAAATAGACAATCAAATCAAGAATGATTGAAATTTACTTGTAGGCTGTAACAACCAATATTCTCAAAAAATTAATAGTTTAATTACAATAAATAAATAAACAATAAAGATAAAACCCAGTATAAGTTAGTGGGTTTACTATTGCAGTATTTCCTTGGTAAATACGGCGGACAAATACAAATTGGGTTTAGGCAGTATTTCCCTTAATTTAAGCAGCGTCGTGCTAGAAATTGATGAAGTGATTTATGGCTTACTTTCGGGCTGCCCCTTGCTTGAAAAACTATCACTGGCAGTATCCGATGATTTTAGCATAATAAGTCTTCCTAACTTGCCAAAGCTAAGGCATCTGGAGCTTACGCATATGATCATTAATACCTCGTTTTCGGTTGACTTATCTTGTAAATTTCCTTTGCTGAGATATTTCTTCATGGAGTGTAGCAATTATGAATCAGATCTATTCATTTCTAGCCACTCAATCGAGCATTTAGACATCGAAACATGTTGGATCAGTGACACAATAAGAGTCGAGTTTGATGTTCCAAGTATTCGTAAGTTTGAGTTTAAAAGCCTGGACAATATGCCATCCCTGTCTTTTAAATCAACAAATTTAAGGGAATGGGAGTCTCATGTAACCATGAGTGGTTTTTATCCCTATACTTCGACGTTTCTTGGCCTGAGGAAGTTCTTGACACAACTGAGCCCATCCAAACTTTATCTTACTATCATAGCCAACCATATGGACAAGGCTGACTACGAGATGGAGGACTTACTAGGTTTACCCTGCACACTCCAACTCGAGAATTTGACGATAGAGACCAAATGTCTTGTGTCTTTAGTAGGTTATGCTCTTTTTGATGGCTTGTTTCGGTTATGCCGCCCAAAGTGCATAACTCAACATCTAACTTACGTGCGGGAATATGACAATGAGCGTTGTGTAACCGATGATTTCCTTTGCAAGATACTCGAGCGAGGAATGAAGGGGCACTATTCGTACCCATCTAATTTCTTGCACGGTCTGCATGGTCTCGAGGAGGCTTACGTGCAGGCTCCTGCTGACGAGGCTGTTGGTGCGTGGAGACTTGTGACAGGGGATTTGTGCTCGGATATTTCTGCTCTTGCAAGCCAGGAGAGCGACGAGAAGAAAATTAGATTCTTATTGAAATGGAAGGAGCCTTAGCTTAATATGTATGTAAGCATGTATTAATGATTTTCCCTTGTTACCCTTCTGTTGATTTTCGTGTTTTTCTTCTTTCTAGTGCCATTAACTGCCGGGCTAATGAGATCAATAGCCTGTAGGGGTGATAATATGATTGTTCGTTACTCTTTCCGCGTTTCTTAAGTTTGATTTATAATGGTTTCATAAGTTACTTCATATATTAGACATATAGAATATGATTCAAGTCATTATATCTTAATGCTAATTTGGCATTTGGCTCATAAGATCTAATGTATATAATATCTAAATGAATGCCAAACCAATAAATGATTTTTGGATGTTAAATACTGTTGTATTAGTTGCTTGCATTGCATTGCATTTGTTTATGAGATTAAGTGCTCGACTGAAGGTGTTCATATATATTGTGGTAATTGTTTCCTAAAAGAATATTGCTTTCATTTTCCCGTAAGGCTCCGCATGACAAACCCGCATCACGACACCACGTCTGCCTCCGTTGTGTCCGTCACTCCATCTCCGTTAAGACCCTCATCAATAAATTACTCGATTTTTATGCCGCATTTGTTTTCTCTGTTAAGCTGGATCCGATTTTACACCATCGGCCGTCTCTGTTACGTGTTAAGCCGTTTAAAGACTTGGTTTTGTATTGGTTTATTAATAGTTTAAGGCTACTCTTATTAGTATTGGTTATGTGATGTGTATTTTAATTTCAATTTTGGTATGCCTGAAGAGATATATAGGGAAGTTCATCAGTTGGCCTTTTTGAAGACTTGGTTTTGTATTGGTTTATTTAATAATTTATTTAAATAATCGATCTGTATCCCGCTCCTCGTGTAGTGCACCTTTTTTTTCTTATAATTTTTTGACAAATTATTGCAGTAAGTTTGATGTATACAAATATATTGTATTTTTGCGGAAAAGAGAACAATCAAAAACAAACTTTTGCCAAAATAATTATAAGAGTTTAGTTATATATTGAGAATTAAGAATGATATTCACTTGTAGGCTGTAACAAAAGGCAAAAATATTTCACTTCAAAAATACTAATATGTTGGTACAATCAATACTCTTAACAAAGTAATAGTGAAATTACAATAAAGACAAAACCAAAAACTCAAACGTTTGGACACATCTAAATTAAATTTATTAAATTCATAATAAAATAGTTGAACAAAAATAAAATTAAACAATATAAATACTGCATCGAAAAATAAATAAACACGAAGAATTCAAAATTTAGACTACAAGTTGAAATACCTACAGACTAGGGCTTCATGCCAAAATTCCATTAAAAAAAATTAATCACAAAGTTTTTCATCCAATCCAAATCCAGTGAACTACGGAAAAACAAAACTCGAGTTTCAACAAGATACACTATATAAAATCAAACTATAAAAACGAACAACCAAATAGTCCCAAGAGTGATATGAGAGTAGCCATAAAGAAAGCAAGCCCGATAGATCTCGTGTGCAAAAACGGAAGAAGTATGACTGATCAAATCACACGCTGCTTGACTTTTAATTCATCCTAATCTCCCACCAAATCTTTTCCTTCTTTTTTTTCTCTTGGGAAAAGTAGGCTACCTAATCCCATAGGAAACCTTTTTACACTAATAAGGTGATGGGTTTGTTGTGGGTATATAAATTGTGGTTTGAAATATAAATATAAGATGGCGGGCAG